CCGCCCTCGTTTCATTTCTTTCCTCTCTTCTTTCTCCTCTGCTTCCCTGCTACTGTGTCTCTCCTGCTGTATTTCTCTGTGTATCCATAGTAGACATCTGTTATTTTTGTCTCCCCAGTATCCACTCTCAAATCTTGTAAAAGTCTGTGAATCTGCTTTGGAGGAGTCAGTCGGCCGTTCATGCTCTTGGCCAAGAGATGGGCACTTAAAGTAAATCAGTTGCTTTCTCCTTGGAATTTGACTTCTGGACAGAGTAATGTAAAAACTACATTACTTCCTGCTCCCTGGAGTGCTCTAAATCCTGTCCTCTTTGAAATCTAGTTCTTCAGCTCTTCCTTTATTCTGTATTGTATAAGGTACATGAATAATGTGTATGAGAAAAAAATATGTACATATTTGCATATGTATACATATGCATAGAGAGGCATACCATGTTCATAGATTAGAACACCCAATACAATAAAAGCTTTTAGTTCTTGTTGAATTGATATCCCAAACAAAATATAAATAGGTTTTTCTTTATGTGGAAATTAGTAATTTCTTTCCAGAATTTTTATGGAAGTGCAAAGAGCAAAAAATAACCAAGACACTCTTGAAGAAACATAAAGCTGGATGATTTGCTTTGCCAAATTACAAGAATTACTATAAAGCTCTAATTATTGAGGTACAGATAACTAAGGTAAAAATCTAGACAGGCATAACAGTGACACAAAATACAGAGCCAAGAACAAACCTGTCTATGTTTAGATACTTGATTTATGGCTGAGGTGTCACTACAAAGGATTAGGAAAAAGACAAATGGTGCTGGTACAATAGATATGGATATGAAAAATTGAATTGGATCTGTACTTCATACTTGACATAAAAATCAGTTTCAGGTGGACTTAAACTTAAATTTGATAACAAAATAAATTCTTTAGAAGACAATATAGGAAAATATCTTCATTATCTTGAAAAAAAGAAATAATAAACACATAGTAATTAATGAAATAAAAAGTTGAACTACCCTACCTCTTAAAGGTACATCTTAGGTTAAATGTTCTTATCACACATAATACGCACCAAAAAAGGGCAGAAGAAACCTTTAGAAGTGATGATTACATTTATGGCAGTGTTTATAGTGACAATTTTATGGGTCCATACTTATCTTCAAACTCAAGTTTCAAAACTCAAAATCATGTTGTGGGAAAGCCCTTGCTTCTCTCGCTTCCTGACCCACCCTTTTCTTATGAACTTTGCAAGTTTGGGGGTTAAACAAGCCATTAAAAAAAACACATTAAAAAACACTGACCATAATAGAAAAGACTAACCTGGACTTAAAATTAAGAATTTCTGTTCATAAAAATCACCTTTAAGAGCAAGAAATTACATTTAAGAGCATGAACATGAAAGCCACTGAATGGAAGAGAATACAGGATGGGGCAAAAGTAGATTTACAGTTGTTCATAGGGAAGGTAATACAATCCTATATAACAAAAGTGTAATATGCTAATTAGACCGGACATCCTTCCAGATGACCTTCCAGACGAAGCTGGGTCTGCGAGGGCCAAGGCAGAGATCGCCGCAGCAGCGGCAGGGGCTGAGCCCCTTGCACGAATTTGGTGCATCGGGCCTCTAGCAATTAATAAATAATAATACAAGAATAAACTCTGCTTCATGTACTCAGAACTGTAAACTGACTTTTGCCCCACCCTGCATTTGGAACACATATAACTAACTGATAGAGGACTTGTATCTGGAGTACAAAGTGCTACAAATCAACAAGAAACAGGCACACAACCCAGTGAAAATATAGGCAAGGGACTTGAACAGGCCATTCAGAGAAGGGGATGTCCAAGGGGTCAAAAATATATGAAAAACTGATGAGTATCATTGCAGTGGAGGCCCTGTAAATTACAACTACCACGAGATAGCAATGGATATGCCTCTGATGAGGGAGACCAAGGGTCCCTGACGTTAAGAGGAAATTTACCTTTTCTTGTAAAATAAACTCAAGGCAAAGGGGTATACCTTATCCTTGTTATTTCTTTAAATTAAAAGAAGGAAATAAAATTACATTGAAATTAGAGAAGGAAAACAGCCAAGCCAAGAACAGAAATGACAAGATGCTATTCCTTGCCGTGGAACAGTGACAGGCATGAGCTCACCGTGTGGAGCAGCCCAGCAGGTAATTCCGGCTCCCCGACCACTTTTCCTTTTCTGGTAGAAGACTGTGTAGTAGGAAAGTCTGGTTTTCTCCAGCTCAGAGTGGATCTTATTGGGCTGGATGATACCTCTCTGGCTCGTGATAAAACCCCTCGGAAAGATATCTACGTCTGAAGTGAAGTATTTGTGGAGGGGCTAATTTTTTCTATCTTGATGGTGCATTCATTCACCTAATATCGACTGTCCTGACCATGTGCCAGGCATTGTTCTAGCGAATGGGAATAGAGCAGTGGAGAAAATAGACATTCTCTGCCCTCTTTTTTTTTTAATTATCTTTTATTGATTTTTTTTTTTTTGAGAGAGAGAAAGGGAGAGGGATAGAGAGATAGAAACATTGATGAATAGAGAGAAACATCATTGGTCGGCTGCCTCCTGCACGCTCCCCTCAGGACATGTGCCCTGACTGGGAATTGAACCAATGGCCTCTTGGTTCCTGGCTCAACGCTCAACTGTTGAGCTACACTGGCCGGGCTTCTTGGCCCTTTTGAAACTAACATCCTAGGAGAAACAGGATGTAAACAAATATATAGACAAAATGTATGCTATGACAAAACTCAAGTAGAGTTAGAGAGAGTACAGGTTGAAGATGGTACTTCCTCCGATAGGGTGGCCCTGGCAGGCCTCCCTGAGGAGGTGATATTTCTGCAGACAGTGGAATGAAATGAGAGGAACAGCAAGTGCAAAGGCCTGAGGTGGTTTGTGTACTGACGGGCTCTTCTTGGGTTATTGTTGTTTCACGGGATTGGATGTTATTTCGCGGGATTGGATGTTATTTCGCTGTGCTGTTTCCTTTAAAGAGATGTCTGTTGTCTGTTGTGCTCCTCCAAACAAGCCTAGGTGTGGAGCAGGTGTTGTCAGCAACCTGCTATGAAAGAACAGATTGTCTCCCCTGGTTCCACAGCCACGCACTCCCAGAATGGCTAATGAGGTGTGTTTTTTCTGGTATAAAACCAGTGTTGAGGGATTTTTGAACTAATTCTGTAGTTAATCTCCAAAGTAATGAGAGTATCACAAACTGGGGGTCTTGGGCTCCCTCCACCTCCCCTCTGGGTGTCTATAGGGCATATGCTGAGCTCCTAGGCCCCACCCAGGACCCCTTGCTTGCTCCCATTCCCACAGTCTTCCCTTGGGGTCTGACCTACACTCTTGTTTCTTCCATAGTAAAGCCCTATTTTCTTTCACTATTAACTTCAGCTCGTTGAAACCCAGAGCTCAAACATTTTGCAACCAAAAAAGGGGTTCCCCTTTCCTTGAGGGCGGGGAGGGCTTGCTCTTCAAACTCTGCCAGCCAGTGACTCGGCAATGAAACACGTGCGTGCCATCCCGGTAGGTGGGACATGCCCTCCACTCCCAGGACGGACTGCGTTCTCACTCATGGGACAGAGAAAAGAGAAACAGTTGTCAACAGGGGAGACCAGGTTGCCTGATCAGTTCCTGCTACATTTCCTCCTGCCAGCGATCTGTGTGCCCCAGTGTCTCTAGGACAGACCTCCTTTCTTTAGGCGCACACCGCCCACCAGGCGGGAGGGGCCCTCTGGCTTCCTTGGGCGTGTGTGTTAGCCTGGCCCCAGGTGCATGGCTCACTGCCTTTGTGCTTTGTCTCCCAGAGCGTGATTGCCTCATGCTCCTGCCTCTCGCTCGCCTCTGGGCCAACCCCGGGTGTGTTGTTAGCTTAACCATCACCACGCAGGTGTTCGCCGGGCCTGTGGGAAAGTCTCTGCCTCCCTGGCTCCTCAACCCACCCCTCTCCTGGGGCTTCTCCGTCTTCCTCCAACGGACGCTCCCCTTTCCTGGGGAGCCCATCATCAGAAGATGCTCCCCATCCCCTCCCCCGCCAAACAAGCCCACCTACCCTTGAACTTGCCACGGAGGGGGGCCGTTTTCCCTGCATCTTCCTTGAGAGGAGTAACCCGACTATTTCTAATCTGAGCTGCAACGGTGCTCCCCTCTGCTGCTTCCCCACGTTTTGCTGAAGGGCCAGGCTCTCGGCACTGGCCATTCCCCTCAGCTTTGGACTCAATTGGTCCTCTTCTTGCAGCTCCTGGCACTTTATTGTGGCAACACAATGTAGTCTGGTTCCTGCTGTGCTGAGCAGCCAGTGGTGGCTGGCTGGTACTCCTCCTGTAACTTGGCTCTAACGCCACCTGTGTTGTGTCCTTGACCCAGGGGATCCACCTCCTTTGCTCAGCCTCATGCAGAGATGGCTGGTAACCAAGGGTCCCGGTGGCTTTAGCATGTAATGAAAGCAATACAGAGCCTCTGCTGCTTCTGCGCAGGGAAGGTCTTCCTACCTGTGTACACGGTGAGGAGGGTGGGGCAGGCAAAGGAGAGGATGACCCTCCCTCCTGAAGGCAGGGGAGTAGCTGAATGGTCCGTCCTATGATGCTCCTGATCCAGGGAGACCAGAGCAGTGGATCTCAAGACAGAGTATTCATCAGAAGGGATCTGGTGAAAATGCAGATTTCAGGGACCCGTTAACAGATAACAAAACTGAGACAAGATTAACTTGCCCCAAATTTTACAATGAGTTATACTGTCTCTATTTAATCCTTTTAAACATTTATATTCTGAATTTGGTACTTTTATTATCTGAAGTTCATAGGACTCTAAATCTGCTGTTGGTTGATTCTCCTGACTCTGCTCATGGAGTTTTGCTTCAGCATGTGGTTTGTGAGGTGACGGTGGGAGCTTTTATTGGGGGGCTGTGTCTGTGGGTGTGCCGTGTGGACAGGGTTGGGGTAGGAGGAATCTCTCCTGAAGGTTTTAGTTTTGCTTCTTTACAGATGCCCCAGCGTTGTTGCCTGCCAAGAATCACCTTTTATTAATTTCTAGGTTTGGAGTCTCCTGGGAAAATTTTGAACCTGGAACCCATATGAGACAACCCCAGAATGCAAATTCCCCAAAGAGAATCTTTTCTATTCAGAGAGTTGAGAGAGATTCAAACTTGTCATTTTCCTTTGATGGTGAGTAGACTTTCTCTAGCTCGATGTTTGTATTAGGTTTCTCCAGAGAAACAGAACCAACAGAACAGGTAGGTAGGTAGGTAGATAGGTAGATTTACAGATAGAGATTTACTATAAAGAGGCTTGGCAGGTGTAAAATCTGCAGGGTAGACCAACAGACTGGAGACTCAGGAGAGAGTTGCCGTTTGCGTCCACAGGTGGTCCGATGGGAGAATTCCCTCTTGCCTGGGGAGGTCAATCTTTTTCTTAAGGCCTTCAACTGATTGAACAAGGCCCATCCACATTATGGAGGAAAATCTGCTTTTCTCAAGGTCCACTGATTTAAATAATCTCGTCCAAAAAAAACGCCTTCCCAGAAACACCCAGAATAACATGTGACCAAATATCTGGTTACTGCGGCTCAGCCAAGTTAACATAAAATTAACTATCATGTCGTTTTCGTGACGGTGGGACATTTGAGGATCCTGGCTTGATGCAAGGGTCTCCGTGCTAACTTTCTGCCTGACACAGGCCCAGACACTTCATCTCCAAGCCCACATGGAATTGGTCTATTTTTAGGCCCAGGTTTCTGAGTTCCTTTTAGGATGACCTAATTCTCAAAACTTGAATTTTTATTTGGAAGCCGATTGCTGCTCTCATTAAAGGACTCTTCTCACCTGATGTTCTTGAGAAAACCAGCTCTTTAATGATGTGTAGGGATTGGGGTAGCGCAACTCCCTTGGCCCACAGGTCTCAGATCGAGTGATTTAGTAATGGATTTTAGCAACTGCAATTCACAGTCTTCACTTGTTATATTAATGGAGATTCAAGTTAAAACATCAGCTTAGAGAGCAATTTTGATCTGAACCCGGTTGAGGTATCATGAGAGCTCTGGCTTCATAAAACCATGGCCACAGATGAATCTAGAACCCACCGCATAGTGTGTACACCAGGGTCATTGAAAAGGGTCCAATGGATAAATCTTGTATTAATACTAATGATGATGGCCAAGGCACCATTTATGAAGCCCTCACTAGATGTTCTAGGCACTATGCTTACTATTTTGTCTGTTATTTCCTTAGAAACCCAGGATCCCAACAAGCCAGGACCTGCAAGATGTAGGTACTGTTGTTACACGTGGAAAACAACCAAAGCTTGGAGGTGTTGCCTTCACAGCTAGATTTGTGTTGCAACAGTGACTAAGAATTCTCTGCAGTCAGCGTAGCAACCATCAGCCCCGGATCAACATTCACAGGCCGTCAAAAAAGCATCCAAAATCCAAAGCTGATACATGTGTAAGAGGAAGAAGAAGAGAAATAACTCAGAGATTTTTCCCTGTCTCTCACTGCTGATGGCTTCCCTGCAGCTTAGGGAGGAGGAATGAGGAGATAACACACAACTCACCATAGTGGATTATGTGTGTTTCTTGTCGTTTTTCTCCCATGTTTTGCTGGTCATTTGCCTGTTTGGACTTAGATCTAGTCTCTGCCCTTCTCCTGTTCTGCTCTGTGTGGCATCAGCCCCCTGAAAATTACATTTCCCAGGCTCCCTTGTCCACTGGCTTCTTGTAAGGTTCAGCCAATGTGAAGAGCCAACAGGAAACAGAGCAGGTGTGACTGCCTCTCTTTGTGGCTCCAGCTTCCACTGGGAGAAGTTTCCATCTCCAGGGTTCCGTTCCACCAGAGAACCGGGCTCCTGGGTTCTGATGACACCATCTCTGCCTTTTGTCCCTAGCCCTAAAGGTGATTACTTATTTCTGATCTTTAACTTGTATCTCTGTTCCATTTTCAGCTCTTCCAAAACCTGTAGCTAGGTCCCTTTTAAAATTCCCTTGGTTGAACTACCTGACATGGGTACTGTTTTCTGGACTCCCATGGTCATGGTGTTGGGTCCAAGTTCCTCAGCCAGGAACTTGACCTCCTTGGACATCGAGAACTGGAAAAACACACGAGTGGCTGTAGGAAGGCAGGACATGCTTGATTGCAAAAAAAGCCGCCAACAACCCGCCGGTCAGTGGCGTCTTATGTACTCAAACAAACGCGGCCTCGTGCCAATCAGTGATGTTCGTGCTACATTAACATAAACAGGTTACATAAGGGTGCGCCTGCACAGTACGTATAGTGCTACTGCTGAGTCACTGCTCTCTCACGTGCGTATGGCAAATGGGCCTTTAATATAATAATGCTGTGTCATTGCCTTTGCACATGGGTATGGCACGTGGGCCTTTAACATCCAGTGTACTCTGGTCAGGCCCCCACACATGGTTACTGTGCATGCGTCATTCAACCTATAGTGTGGATTTGATTCTTACAAATTAACCCTTTTTGACTCCCAAGTGTCTTAATTTGGGTTCCCAGAATTAGGGATTCTTGTGCAAGTGACTTTATTGGGGGAACACTCACAGGAAAAGAGTAAAGGAAGCAGGATGAGATGGGGGCAACCTCGTCAGAATGTGGCCTCAGCTGGAGCCCACTTCAGCCTGATTCCACTCGTGATCAGAAGCGTGAATTGAAGCACAGAATTGCCCTCACCTGCAGGCAAGGGGCTGGGACTTTGCACCTGTGTCACTCAGCCAGTGGTGCCCAAGGGTGGTGCTAGTGGGGACCCACGGTCTCCAGGGGCCTGAAGAACCCGATCTAAGTGACGTGCAGTCCTTGTGCAGCAGCGCCGTAGCCAAGGGGAAGCTGAAAGGCTTTCATTGTTCGGGGCGAACATCAGAACACCCGCTATCAATGGCCGCGAGACACTGAAACTCTCCAGAGTCAGAAGAACCCTCAGATACTAAGTTCTGTTTGGGACGACCAGCCTGGCCTGAAGGTGGAGGTAGCTTTACACGGCGGGGTCCCTCTTTGAAGATCTGAAATGTTTTAATGAGATGTGTTACTTATTACATGGTCCAAAGCCAAGTGCTAAGGGTTATTCCTGAGATTTTTCCTTGCATCCATCCCTCCCCAGTCCTTGTATAAAAACCTTAGATCCATACGGTCTCATTCTTGGATTGTATGTCAGTTTCTTCGTCATTCTCCCACCTCCTACCTCTCCTCCGGCCAACTAGCCTCCGGGTGGCTTCCAGCCTGATCACGAGGCACTGATCCCATCACATCTTTGCTAAAATCCTCCAGCTGGATATCTAAAGCCCATCTGACCTTCCACACTGGTTCAGCCCCGCCTGCCCTCACCACTCTTTCCACCACTTTCCAACCCCATCCCCTCCTCTGCTTCAGTGGTTCCTCATCATGCTCATTAGTGTCTTCGTACCATCAGCCCTGCTTGTACCCAGCAGCGAGCCAGGGTGTCCCAGGAGCAGCAGCCAGGCTAGCACAGCCTCGCCTGCAATGCTGCCCACCAGTGAGAACTTCCATTTGCTGAGAGGGGACGGAGGGGTTAATTGAAATGCAAGACAGCACACAAAGAGGAAAGATGAAGGAAGTCCTTCAGGCAAATATCCGAGGTGATTGTTGAGATCACGGAAGGCTTTAGGGTGTGGGCACAGATTTCTGCTAGACTGAGGCAGAGCAGAGCTGAGTGCCCAGTGTTTCCCTTGGCAGAGCCAAGCCAGCCTAGGAAAGAGAAGGAGCAGGGTGAGTTCGCCTGCAGAGCCTAGAAGCAGGCATTTCACAGTCCTGTCCGGTGGGGCCAGCTGCCCGCACTGGGTGCGGTGCTTGGTGCTGAAGGCAGCTGCACACGCTCTGTCCACGTTCAAGCAGCGTTCTCCATTCTGGGCAGATAAAGCCTGGCAGTCTGTGCTGTTCCCCGGAGCAAGGCAGGTCCGATAGACACTTCCGGTTAGCAACTCCAGCCCGGACTCCAGGCCTTCGGGGTTGGGCGCACAAAGCCCTAACAGGCCTTTTACCTCTCTAAGCTACTCGTTTCCATTTCTGTAAACCAGGGGACAATGTGGCTCTGTCAGTTGGGATGTCTAGGTAAAAAACTGGATATGCTTCATGCCTGTCGGATAGCGCACAGCGATGCTCAGTTAATCCTCGTCTTCTGTCTGTCACATGTTCTCCCACGGGAGGCCCTGCTTCCTTCCCCTGGGAATGCACATCAAGCGTCTGTATTCGTTATGCCCCAGCACCAACTACATTTTCTCAGCACTCACCCACCATGCCTGGTTTTATCACAAACAAACAAGCAGCACCGATTGAATCTACTGCTTAACCATCACTTTTGTGGGTGCCTTCTCCCTCCCCTGCAGCGTCATGCCATTCAGCAAATGGTGCAGATGCACCCCTCCACCAATCAGACTCCTCCAAAGGCTAGAACCTATCCTTGGGCTAAACCTGACCATCAGCCCATCTGGTCTTGAGCTGGGACCATGGTTAATAACACCCCCATTGTTCTCCCAATGAAAGGACACCTCCTCTGAATCTGTGCACATTTGGAATGTCAGACTATGCTGTGTGAACACAGATTTCAAAATCTTTTTCCTTTGATCTCAAGGCTAACACTCAAAGTCCAGTTGAAGAGTACAGCCGACGTGGTTTCCTTTGCATGGCGAACGGGTGTCTTGGGAGAAGTTTGCCTGCTGGGAGGAAAGGCTACGAAAGCTCAAGAGTGCAGTCTGCCGATGCAGCCACCGCTCCTCCACTCCTGTGCTGCATCCTCTTCCTCCGCCCTCGGATGGTGGATGATAGTGGGTGGGAAAGAGAAAGATATGACTCACCCTTTTCAAATCAGCCTTGCTTTGGCCGTGAGAACTGAAGACTGAAGATCAGAGCAGGTCCATATTCCAAGTCTTCAATGGGCCACGTCCTTTGAACATGAAAGCCCCAGTGGAGGCTCCCCAAGGCATGGGATCACTTAAGCGATGGTCATCCTAGGCCCAGGTCCAGCTGTGAATAAAGTCAAAGATTTCAAGGCTCAAATATTTATGAGAATGGGACATTTAACGACACCAGGCATTGCCAAACACATGCCCACAACCAGAAAAGCGAGGAGATAGCGTGGCTTCAGTTTTCCTCCCGATGCCAACCAGGGCTCTGTCCAGGGAACTCTGCCTTCCCTTCCTTGTTGGCCTCGGTAGGATGAACTGAGTAATGTCACTCCAAAGAAAGGGGGCCCAGCCCTTAGATCTTTTTGCCACTATTTCTCAATTTTTTTAAAAAAAGAATGCGTTTTTGAAACAAATTTTTTAGAAACTTTTATGCATTCATTCATCTGCCTTTCCTCTCCTTTCATTTCCCTCTACATGAAAGAGATTCTGGGCACAATTCACAGGAAAAATGAGCTTCATCTGCCTTCCCATGCCCTGCAGTCTTCCAGTCTCCATGATGGGACCACTTACAACCACCTCACACTCTGAGACCAGCCCTTTATGGATCCTAAGATATTTAATGGGGTTCTAGGTCTGGCGTCTGTCCTACCCACACAGACTCATGCTGGTCTTATACTCCGTTCCTTATATTGGGGGCAACCCTTTGTGTGTGTTTTTGGGGGGGGGGGGGCTGTATTATGTATGGTCATGGAGCCAAGAGCCCTAGATCCAATCCTCCTGGTGGTATGACAGATGGCTTCATAGCTCCAAAAATATTTCCAGCCAATTTCTCATACGCTCCAGTTGTCCAAAGCTTCCAGAAGCATTTATGAGGTGGGGAGAGGGGCGGCCACAGTGGGACTTACTGCTGCTTTGCTTTAAATAAAACTACGAAATGAGACCATGTGCCTGCCTCTCTAGCAGCTCCGCCTCATGGGTGGGTTAAGGTCTTCCTTTCCTCTCCTCTGTCTTCTCATAGGAGAGTCATTCTTGGAGTAAACCAGATGCTGCAATTATTTGGCATAAAAGAGGGTGCCAGCCAGGTAGCTAATGACTAAGCCGGCTCCACAGGCATGGCTGCTTACCACTGATATGTAAGCAGCCAGAGCAGCCTGTGTACGTGGAGCAAAGTCCACAGAAGCTCATAGACACACTCAAGCACTGCTTCTCCCAGGAGGACCCTCGGGAGGGCTCTCCACAGGAGCACGCAGGGCTGCGCCTTTAAGAGCTGGAGGGAAAGGATGGTCCTCCCCAACATGGCCGTCTGCTGATGGGAAAGACTCTCTCATCTTAGTGTGTCACAGGAGGGAGGGTGTAGCGGGAGGAAACCAGAGACCAGGGGGCTGGCGGGGGGAGAGGGAGCGGCAGACACAGCCTGTGGGTGGCTGGTCATGCTTCCCCTCCCAAGGCAAACCCATCGAAGCGGCGTAGGGCCTCGGCACCTGCTGTGGCTCTGAGTCAGGGGGGCATTCCAAAGATGCCTGCCTCCCTGTGTGCTGGGGACACAGGCAGGAGGAAATGGAACGCAGGAACAAACAGGGCAGACTGCACAGAACACACAACACGCAGCTGGCCCCACCGCCTCTGTTCTGAGAAAGAGAGAGACAGAGTCCAAGAGCACGTGTGAGCGCTGTCCAGGCTGGCTGCTCGGTGGCGAGGAAACCCACAGGGAATAAGGACCGTGCAAGGCTTGCTGATGGAGTCAGCATGCTGGGAGGCCGGTCAGGGGTGTGTGTGTGTGTGTGTGTGTGTGTGTGTGTGCATGTATATGAGTGTGTGCATACCTTCACAGAGGCAGACAGAGTTCCAGTGTGCAGGCCAACCTTCCCCTAAGTCAGGGATGGGGAACGTCCGGCCCTCGGGCCATATAAAGCCCGAGAAATCATTGGGTCTGGCCCTGCCAAGGCATTAGGGGTGAGTTAATTAAATGGTTGACCAAATACAGCAGGCTGATTTTTAAGTCGATAATTTTGTGTGGCCCACGAACGATGTTATCAATATCCAAATGGCCCTTGGCAGAAAAAAGGTTCCCCACCCCTGCTAAGTGGCCAGAAACCACAGCCCCCTCCACAGCCAGCGGTGCTCCATGGTGCTCTGGGGACTCTGCCGTCTTTGCTGGGACGCCTTGGCGGGGCCATAACGTGTGCAGGCAAATGTAGTTATTTTGACTTTTCAGAACATCTTAAAGTTCCTTAGGAACCCACCATAGCAGCCAGCCCTCTCTGCTAAAGGTGTTTCATAGAGAGAAGTGACTCTGTGAGCAGGACCAGTCCTGCTGTCCAGGGTCAGCCCCTCTGCCGGGGCCCTTCCGACACCTGGTCGTTTCAGGAGGCTGCACCAAGAGGTTCTTCCATCCTGAACATGTTTTTAGTTCAATTAGTCCTCGTTTGTCTTTCTTTAAAACATGTTCTTGCTTTTCTGCAGTTTTTACCCCCAGGTTGGCTTTGGCAAAACTAGGGCATTGTGGGGGGGAACACCTGTAAAATCTGTAAACTCCCTTACCTCCCACATTAAGAATCTCAAAGGCCTCCCACATTAAGAATCTCAAAGGCATACACACGACAGAAGCCCGGTCTTTGGTTTTAATTAGAAAGACGGCAGACGTCGGAGCTGGACAGACCTGCCGGCAGACCCTTGTTTAACATTTCCTTGCAGGTTAGTGGGGGCCAGTTCACTAGCCTCCCTGCGTCTCCACTTTCTCATCTGTAAAGCAGAGAGGACTAGGCCCCCTTATCAGGTTTCCCGAGGACTGGATCGGTCGGTCATGCACAGCCAACAGCACATGGCAGTTATTCAACAAATGCTACGACTTCCTCCCCCAGCTGTCCTCTCGTCCTCGGTGTCCCTGTCAACAGCTGCCATTCCCAGACATGGCCCACATGGCCGCTATCCATCTTCATAAAAGGCCTGACAGGGGGGTTTCTTTCAGGGAAACATGAAGGGAAGGGGTGTCGGGAGCTATGAGCATCTGTTAATCCAAGCATTTTAACAGATTTCCTTTGAACAGAGGGCAGCCCTCTCAGATGCCACGGCCATGGGAGTCCCCGTTCTGTATTGAGAAGCAAGATTGTATTTAGGCTCAGTGCTGAGACTCGGGAATCGGGCAGGGCTGGCTGGGATCATGTGCTGGCTCAGCCGTGGACCAGCTGTGCGACACTGGGCCCATCATGGAATTCTCAAAACCTCAATGTCCTCATTGTGAAATGGGGGAGCAGACTGTACCTCG